ATCGAGTACCAACTCTTAGCTTGCATGGACTCATCCCATTCGACAGCCGCCTGCATCTCATCGGGTAATCGGTTGGAGCATGTAAAACCAGGCTCATGGTGCCCAATGCCAGCCAAAACGTTGGGTCGACATGTGGACATCGCGGGAGGGGGGCATGGGCTAAAATCAGAACACAGAACGCCCCACGACGAGGCAAAACCTGCGAAATTATGAAGTTATAGCGTACAATCGTTTCTTGGCACTTATTATCCGTCCTTCTAGAGGACTCCACAATTCCCAAAAGACCGCTCCCCAATCCCGTGCGGTTCAAGCCCTACATAGTACTAAGCGACCGAGCAAAGCATTGCAACATCTGTACGCAGCTCGTCGACAGTCTGCCCGAGTAAATCTGTTGCCTTTCTTGAATCCTCACTGCTCCAACTTTTTCTGCCGCATACAATACTCAATACTGTGGAGTCGAGCCTCCTCCGAAACACTCATCATCACTTTTTCATGTTAGTCATTCGGTAAAATGCTGCCCGAACAGGTCGACCATTCTCCGACAAGATCCTCCAAGTCCAATAATAACCACGCATCTTCGTTTCATAAGCTCGCAGTGCAAGCCAAGAAAAAAGCCCACAGCATCACCACCGCTCCTCTTCGAGAGTTGAATTCACAAAAGTATCTGAACAGTCTTCACGGCATCCTTGTCCTGGAAAGCATCCTATGGATACTGTTTCACACCTTCATTCCTGGCCTCACCACTACCGACATCCCCTGCCCAAACTATCAGCAGATTCTTCGAAAAATTTTCGAGGTCCTCTTTTGGGAATATAGCTTCATCGCTTCATTCTTCCTGATCCTCTCCGCTCGAGTAATCTGCATTCCCTTCCTGGCCGACTCGTCATCGACCAACTTTGCTCGGAGTCTCATCCGGCGGCCCATTGAGATCGGCCTCCCTCTTTTCGTCGCAGCAGCGGTGGCCTTCCTGATCTTCAACCAGACAGGGACGGACACCATCACCGAATTCGCGACCAACTATTCCAACCCACTTGTCCAGCCCGTCTATCTCCCCCCAACCGGCCTCGCACTCGTCAACAGCATCTACAACACGCTATGGATGGTGCGAGACTTCTCCACGCAAGCCGCCAACCGCGCCTGGCCCTCCATGACGCTCTGGTCGCCATCTCTGATCTATTCGCAGTCCTATACCGTGTACATCGCGATGGCGATTCTACCCTTCACGCGCCCTCGCTGGCACGTGCAAGGTCTCGGGTTCTTCATCCTTGGCGCCTGGTGGCTCAACAGCTGGGGCTGGTACAGCGCCACGGGCCTCCTGCTCGCCGACATCAGCATCCACCCGATCCTCAAGGCCGACTTCCAGTACGGCTTCAACATGACCGAGAAATTCCGCGTGCGGAACGGCTTCATCGGAGGCTTCCTGGCCGCGGCCGGCTTGGCCATGAAATATGTCTGGGTCGCCGCACGGCCGGATCTGAGGAACGCCGAGTTGAAAAGCCACCCGATTTTCTATTTCTCCGATAAAGTCTCCTTCGAGACGTTCGACAAGTCGGCGCCCTATCCGAGGAATGACAATTATCTGCTCATTGTAGGTATCTTGCTTCTCGTCGAGACCTTGGAACCGGTCAAGAGCTTCCTGGCCGGTAACAGGACGTTGCTCTTCTTTGGGAAGCGGTCATTTAGTGAGTTTAGCCGGTGCTCATCTCACTTTTCGTTTCCTTTCTCTGACCCTTTGGTCCTAGGCTTCTTCACCGCGCAAAGCATCTTCGTCTACACCATCGGCATGAAATTAGCGCTGCACCTTCGCACAGCGCGCGACTTGTCGATCTCTTCCACGAATGCAATCACCATCTTCACGCTCATTCCATGCATCTTGCTAGGCGCAGAACTGTTTTATCGACTGGTGGATGTCCCGAGTAAGCATTTCGCAGAGGCGGTGTTTGTTTGGCTTAGGAAATGAACATTCTTACTGAATCATCGAGAGGAGCGGTGCAACTGTACATGGTAACATGATAAGGGGACAGGGGGCTACCCTGATGTTGGACAGGAGGCTACTTGTGCTTGTTCCAAAGGTCACTCGAGGATATATATGGGAGAGTTTTAAATAATAGATTTTGGGAACATGTTCTGAATACCGATCGGGATCCTACCCTTCACGGCCCATGCTAGCTCTCTGTACTTATCGCCAAAAAGCCGCGTTTCGTGGTCGTACTACTCGAGGATTCTGGACCTGGATTCTGGATCTCCATCTGCAAAGCCAGCAGCACCTTCAATCATCCCAGACGCCGCCCTCAAAGGTCCAACCGATAGGCTGGCCAAGAATCCGAAGTCCCAGAACCTACACGGCTTGCCAGAGAGAGAATCCTTCGCTTATTCATGGCCGAACATATGGGGTCACGGAGATGAGACTCAAGAACTCCATCCGCGGTCCTTCACCACTCCGTGATGCACTGCGAGGCCGCTACAATCTCCTCGGAACATCACGCAGCTGGAGCGCCGCGCAGAGTGATCTCGCTCAAAGATTTCTGCAGAGGGAATCCACCTGCGGTCTGCCGTGCGTGAAGATTGCCGAAAACAGCTTCCGATTGACAGGGAAGGAGAAGTTGCTAGGCCCTGAGCACACGTCGACACTCACCATTGTGAACAACTTAGGCAATATATACCTCAAACAGGGCAAACTGGCCGAGGCGGAGCAGATGTACCAACGGGCATTGGCAGGGAAGGAGAAGATGCTAGGCCCGTCGATTTTGTCTCGTTGATATAAAGAGAGCTCATAATTCGGAGCTCTGTTACCAAGTATTTCTGCCAATGGCCTTCTAGGCATTGCGTGGTCGCTGTCGCAAAAAAGCGCGTTAAAAGACGCGTGAGTGAATTCGCGAAATTTGCTCGGCGAAATCGGAGACTTTTGCGCTAGTACTGTAGTTATGGCGGGGTGACGAGACCTTCATCTCAGCCTGATCGTCCTTGGCTGTTCGCCTCTAGCTGACCCTCTTTAGCTAGTTGTCGGCCTTTAAAGCCAACACTCCAACACTGCTGATCGTCTTCTTTTCAATCTTTGCGCCCATCTGAAGAGTAACAGCGAACCCGACTGTTAATTGAGCTATCCCCTGTGTCACTGAATGAGCTTAATAATTAGCTTTATAGAAGCATAGCGGCGATGCTATGCTTACGGCCTTAGGTGAGGGACGTATGACAAACATATAGACACGGACGCGGTAGGTTCCGGGAAATAAAAGCGGCAGGAGGTGAACGGGATACGCTTAACCTGATCTGGCTTGAACACCCCGGCACCCTGACGTAGAGTACGGAGTACTTTTGCTCCAGAACGGACTCTTAACGAGACAGCTAAGCTTCGACCGGTTAGCGGCACCACTGTGGCCAATTTCTGTGGCTATCGACCAGAGGAGCTTTGAGACATCCAAGGGGCGCTGTACTACGTATGATAACTAACTGTTACTAGAACCATGCTAACATCATTTATGCCCCTTACCGTAGTAAGACTTCAAGAAAAACAACGTTAAGCTGAAATTTAGCTGTAGGTCGAAGTATCAGAGTAATGGTTTTGGGAGTGTTCTCTTGCTGACCGATCTTTCCAAGGACTCGGAGGTTCAAAATGAACCAGGCTGCGAGTGAGTGCGGACAACTCCAAACCAACCACATTTCTTGCAGCTTGTGTGTGTCCTTGCGAGGCCCTCATTAAAATAATGCTAGGGGAGCCATCAAAGTGCGCTTAGATTACATAGTAAGCCTAACCGTAAGACTGCTTAGAGAGGAGTACAAAGGATATGCAGCTTGATACGCAGCCCTTGATATGCAGCTTAGTCGTCTGTGATCCAATGAAATCTTCCTGTCTGCAACGTATTTTACTGAAAATATGGTCACAATATGGTCAAAATATGCTTCTCTTATCATATTAGTATTGTGGTCATTTGACAGAGTAGCTGTCATTTCCCTAACGGCACTTAGCTCGAATCTTTAGCTGCCCCTTCTCCTGGTAAGCAGTTCGACTGTTGTTAGCTAGTTACTATGTCACTGACTATAGCCCTCATGCTGCATTGAATGTACCGCTGATCGAGTTGGAGCGTCTGAAGATAGAATCGAAGGGAAGTAGCAGAAGAGCGCCAGCGTAGCTTGACAACAGCACCACAGACTCATGGGGCAGGACAGGACGATGATCATATTATGTTCAAGAAAGTGAAACTACTTGGTGCAGCATCGGTGAAGCCTGCGCTTCCTCTGTATTTCGCTAATAGTACAGGTCTATGTCGTTGATCACAATGCAAGGGATCAACCAGATATTAAGACCCAAAGAAGGAAGAATATCTACCCAGAAATTAGCATATGGCAAGTGCTCGGGCAGGAGGATCCAAGGCATACCATTAACACTCCGAACATCTTTGCAACCAACCATCGATTACCGCTAACCCTGCTCCAGTATTTGAGCAGTTCCCTTTGCGCGCCTTGAACATTATCAACCACGTCTTCTGTGTTTGCGTCTATCCGCTGGATCATCTCGCTCTGTTCGGACACCATGCTAGCCAGTTGCCCAAATATTCCGCCAAGCTCGTTTATCGTTCGTTCAATCGCTTCGATGGCCTCGCCTCTTTGTTGTATATAGGTGTTGGTAGGCTGCGCTTCTTCCATCATCAGCAATTGCGAATCTGATTGCTGTCCGTGCCGCATAAGTGTAGAAGATGACGAAGGTTCCAGGCTAAGAAGATCGGAGCTCGAATGGGCAGCTTGGGGTGTACGCTGTCTATTTGTACCTGTGGACTGGTAGAGCGGTGATTCCGAGCGCTGTGCATCCATACCGGTTGCCGTCTTCGCCGATACTGAGCTGACAAAATTCTCGGTCCGCGATCTGCTCGCTTGAATATTCTTCGTCCGTACCTCTAGAACGTCCTTGAAACTCGCCGCCACATCTGCTACCTTGCCCTGCAACATGACCACCACATTCTTATTGTGCTGACCTTCCTGATCGGCTGACTTCGGTTGTAAGGCGTTGGGATGTAGAGACTGGTTGAGAGATTGTAAAGAAGAAATCTGGCTGTTCAAAGAAGCAAGGTCTTGTTTTATGATATAAGTCAACTCTGAAATCTCCACCGGTCGGTCGTCGAACAGAGTCTTTCGTTTCGCCACTGTCACTCTCATCAGCCAGAAGCCGCAGACGTAGCTGCGGTGCCCTACATTGCGCCAGCCTCTCCAACTTGCCCATTGTCGCTGTGATGCCCCTTCCCACCTGGGCAGCATTTCTTGCAAACTCGGATCGCGCCCTCCGCTCTGACCCAGCAGACCCATTTGCTTCCCGTCTTTGCACATCTGAAAGTAATGATGCCCGTTGTGATCCAACCTTTGAGGTGTTCTGTCGTTTCTGGGCTTGGATAAGAACTGTCCGGAATTCATTCGTCCGATCTTGTATTGATGTTGTGACCATGCTGCACGGTTGGCTTGACGAAGAAAAGCCCTTTGAGGGCCAGCAAATGGCTGATGAGCAATTTAAAACTCCGTCTAGGGCACAAGTTAAGTCGTGGCGATTTTGCGAGACGACAAAGAATGCACCGGCCCGGTCTCCAAACTTTTGGTCACTAGGACATATACATAGAGGAGACTCCTTATCTCAGTTTACCTGTCACGTAAAGAGCGGAGACTTGCTTTTGATGTCAAAGAGAAGCTGCGGTTTTGCTGGGAGCGGAAAGTGACAGGGTCAGAGTGTCCTCAATTTCGGAGTCCTTCCGACTCCGCATGCTTCATCACTCTCTCCCTCCTCAATCCTTTCAAGGCTGCCTCTGGCTCGAGGTTGAACATCGTTCTGCTAGCAGGGACACATCACGGGTCTATTCATTCAATGGAGTTTTCTCACGAGTGTTGCTGTGATATGCACAATCATCTTCCGTACGTAAAGTACTATTAACCAAGGACACTAATCATCACACAGTGGATGCTCGGCTGCATTCGCAATAATCACGTTACAATCAGTTGTCTCCTTCAAATGGAAGAGACCCAGCACCGTCTTCAAGATGCGAACAACTTTTATCCTTGAATCTTGAGACCCTTCCGCGTCTTTCGATAAAGCGAACTCTACAACGTTGAAGAGCAGACCTCCTCGTAAGATAAGAAAAGAAGGCTCAGAAACTAGAGAGCTACCCGATGTACTGTATCATTCGCAATCCAGTCAATGCCACGTCGGGCCGAAGGACTTGGTAGCCAGCGAGAATAGATCCTACCGACGACTCAGTCTCTGAGAGCTCTACAAACAGGAGGTTAGCTGCACATGGAAGCAAGTAGATCTCTCTCGAAAGGTTGGGCAGTGCCTACGCTTTGTAGCTCAGGCTCGCCCCAGGATTTTGCGATGTTTCTTCCTCAATCAAGCTCGCATTGCTTGATAACCAGAATGCGTCCATGGTAACATTGGCATTTGCTGTGGAGGTAAGGCGTATTTATCAGTTTTCCTGATCTATCCCGGTCTCCGCACCAATAAAATACCACGAGAGCATGTTATGCGAAAGGTATGCTCATCCCAAACTAGGATCTCGGACGGCACGCGAGAGTCTCCCCAAAGTTGCCTCACCTTCAGTTAGAGCTGGGTCGCTTCGGTCTTCCATAACAGGCAGGACAGGGCAGAGGATTCGGACAACCGGAAAGAATTTACGATGGGCTTGGACAGACTGCACCCTGATGATGGAGGGATCTAGCAGCAATGAGCTGGAGAGGACAGCTTGAAAGCCAAACAATGTCATACTTCTGGCAATGTTGTTGTATCCTTCCATGGTCAATATAGAGAATCGAGTACTCTGCAAACAGCCTTCTCCCATCAAGAGTACCACTGCTGTGATTACAAGTCTATGCCCTCCACAACGGAAACAACCGAGCCTGAGCCTGGTCTATACGGCAGTAGCTGAAGGATTGTACGAGACCCGGGAACAGGGCCTCAACCAAGCCCAGGCCAGGAGACATCTTCATCACCATCAATCCTTTCATCATTACCATTCTCCTCGGTTTGCTAGGTAGAGATGAGCTTCAAGGGCCGAATGAACAGCCTGCAGAATTGAAAGAAGTGTATTGCTACAACGGAAGCAAGTAGACAAGAGCGTAGTCTGAAGGAAGGTCAGTGTAAGGGCCGGACAGATCACCTGGAGAGGATGGCTGGAGGGCAAGAGGAGAAGGCTAGTATGCTATGGAGCAGGCAGAAACAACCAGACAGATAATATTTAGCGGTTCTTGCATAGTTGGCCAGCGCCACTGAAGCTGCACAAAAGGTCTGGGGCGCACCGGGTGAGATGCAAGGCAATCGCAAGCAGGACTGATTTCTGTTTGTCGCTTTCTGCTCCACGTAGATTTTCTTTTACTTTACGACTGGCAGTCTTCAAATTGGAATGTAGTTGCTCAATCTGGACGCCCAGCTACGCACGAATAGCTCCTGCTTCCGTGCCGGTAATTCGCGCTCTTTTTGGAGGATCCACCTACCTCTCCTTAGTGATCTAGAGTCTGTTTCTTCATCAGTTGTGCTTTCAGTTCCGCTGTCCACTTGGTCCAATTCTAACGGTGATCCATCGGCTGTGGAATCTTGTCCTTGCACAGTTTCCGTTGAAGATGCAGCATTTACCTCCCTCGTGAGGCACATCTCAAGCAGTTCGCTGTGTGGCTTCATCTCCTCATTCACATAGTCAAGGGTCCCACGCTGGTTTTTCACCTTTTCTTCCAGTCCACACCATAACAAGGCCAAGGAAGATGACTTCCAAGACCCACGTCCAGCCTGCTTGCTTGCAATTCTTGACCGCCACCAAGTTGCTGAAAAGAACGCTGCCGTTGACGTAAGAAGAAAAGCAGTCCAAGCCAGATATACTGCTCTGAATCGGATGCAAGTTCTTGGGATTTGTTGCTCTCCCACAAGATGGGCACTGTTTGTAGCGTCCCCGTTTCGACGGATGCCAGCAGTCATGGAGTCCGCGAGGCGCTCTATGTACTTTTCCACGTAAGTAAGATTGGACTTGCCATCGAGATAGAGGAGTTCAAGCCAAAGGTCACCATTGGCCGTGTCCCAGAGACCTGCCACTTTATTTGGATTGCCTGCTTCCCCAAATATGCCACCAAGGAATGACCGGATCGCTATCGATGAAAATATTCCAAAGGTCCAAGTGCAGGCAGGATCATACCATACCAAGGCCTGAGAGGCGGCAATGTGTTCGTCGGAAACGTTTGAAATATACCCAGAGTGTTCGAGCTGAATAACATAGTCCTTCCCAGATTTCAAACGTCTTGCTGCTACGGTTTTAGGTCCTAGAGAGCTCCCTGATGATGAACAGTCGATACCTTCAAATGAGGCCACGGCTCCTGCTAGGGAGTAGTATGGCCAAGCCATATTGATACGAGGCAACTTCATTGTCGATATAACAGTCTGTTGAATTTGATTCGCCGAAATGGTAATATTGTCATTGGCATTCCCGTATATTTGAATGCAGGGGTATAAGCTCGCAGTAAAAGCTAATACACCGCCAGCACCATGCATCAAGGCTTCGAATTCAAATAGAGGGGTGTCCTCTGTGAATTCCGTGATTTTGGTCTCTGCCGAACTGAAAACAGTACCGTGATATGTAAGATTCTGGCCGGAAGGCAATTTCCAATTGTTACCACTTGGTACGACTCTTTCAGAGATGTTCTTCACAGAGGAGCATATGGCCAAAGATGAGTACGTTCTTGGGAACGTGCAATTACCAGATGAACAATCGAAAAGGAGGCTTGCTGTGGCATTTGCAGGTGGGTTTAATACCCCTTCGAGAATAGCAAGACCCATTGGAGCGTCAACACGCCAATCAGTTAGATATCCAGGACCATGTGCTGTATAGTTGTTAGTTCTATTGATTGTTGCTAGACCTGGTCCGATTGTTAGACACTCATATGTTTGAACCACGAGCTGAGTGAAAGGATCAATGCCAAGGCTGAGTAAAGTTATCATGGCGCCCAAACAGGCCAGTTTGTTCTGGGGGAGCCTAAAGATGAATCGGAATGAACCTCGAGGCCCTCGACTAGCCAAATCGAATTCATCCATATCACTGAGGAGGCGAGGATTGGCAAACCACACCCATTTGAGCTCGCTGATACCCTCTGCAACCGGCATAAGCATCGCGGCCTTTAAGATTGAAGTGAAGACCGAGACCAGAAAATTAATGGAGATAGGCCAATTCGGTATTGGCTGTTCATTCCGCGCTCGAACTATCACGACAATGACGAGCAAAGCCGCTAGTGCGATTGAATAGCTCACCAGCTCCGTAGTCCACGCGAAGTTGGAGGACCTCGGCTTTATACTATCACAGGCCTTCCCGGTTTTTTCAGCCCTTTCTGATGTGGCACCCGTTCGATCTGCCCGGCCATGTGCACTTGTTTGATCATCGTGCCCTTCCAAGTCAGATATTGGAGCGGACTGAACGCCGCTTGACCTGGCGGAAAGGCCCGCCTCTGATACGGTCCTCTGGTCAACTAGAGGCTCGAGTTCGATTTCTGCCATATTGACTCGAATAAATCATAGAATGAGATACAAGAGCTGCGAAATATTTCTGGGCCTTGGATGGCCTCCGTCCCGGTAGTTGGAATTGAGTTGCTCATTTTTGAACTTCAACTTTTGTTGAACCGCTAGGCTGAGATACTTATGGGGGCCGGGCGCCACAATTTGTCGAATCCCTCCTAATGCACACGCTATTGGGTATGCCAGTCGAATTGTGAGTCGACACGATTCCTCATTTCAATTAGCACATCTCACCAGAGATGGGCATCTGCTTACCAAGGTGGCTGAGGGCCCATTTGACTGACAAGCAGATAACATCTTTCATTCTCTTGGTTTTATCTATAACTTAATATTATTGAAACAGCCCACTATTGCCAAAACTGACCTCACCAAATGCCCGTTCCGGTATTAGACCTGAGCGCTTGCTTGTTTAAGTATCCGGCATTAAAGTGCAGACTCCGTGCAGTCAGTGAGGGGTACATCCATTGAGTGTGGTTTGAAACCCACCAGCGCTGTCCTTTTGGCGGAGTGGTTGATGTGTCCCTTTTCTCGTGCAGGCAGTCTTTTTCATCGCCAGGCTCTTTTCGGAAGCATTCAATGCTTGTGGTGTATCCGATGGACTCACGTACGTATGGCCTCAGGATTGATGCTTCCAATGATTCAAAACAGTCTTGACGAAACATAGCTCTTGTGTTACGTGTAGGTACCTGTGACCATTCTTCATGGATCTGGTGAAGATACCTGCCTAGTCTTACAGGGTGTGAAACACCAACGATTGGTACAGCGACATGGACTAAATTTATCAGTGTTCAAGGTGTGTCAGGATGCGTTTTCCCCTCTATCCAGCTTGGGATGTGCTCGACTCTCATAGTCATAAGTACTACGAAGAAGTCCTGCAATTTAAATCAACTACCTAGGCAATAGCCTGAGTCAAAATCAGATATACTTCTTTCATTTTCATCACCTCAAACACTAATTATGCCTAAAAAGCAAAGCACGTCCAGCAAAAAGAACTCCAAGCAGGCTTCAAGAGCGGCTTCAGGAAGACCCTCAGGAGGAGCCTCAGGAGCAGCCTCAGGAGCAGCCTCAGGAGTGATTTCAGGAGGAGCTTCCGGAGGGCCTGTAAGAGCAGCTTCCGGAGCGGCTTCAGGAGCGACTTCACGAATGGGAATCGATCTCTCCAAATACGGTCCAGGCCTTGGAAGTCTAGGAGGGATTCCTCCTGCAGATCCCAACTATGAAGTCATGGATGATGAAGGTCTAATTCGATGGAAGTTCAAACCAATTGTTCGCGAACCGCAACGTGCAACTCGTCTAAGGGACGTCATTTCATCATTCGAACAATGTCGAGGCCATTTTGAAAAGTCGCATGCCTATCACTGTCTGGAGACATCAGTCTGGTTACGATTTCGGGAGGCACACATATCCCTAACGAATTACGTCTGCTTTGGTACTGGAAGTCCCACTGCTGGTGGAAGAAAAGGGCATTCCATGTCACAACTTGCTGTTTTTGTGGCAATAGTACATCTGCTTCACAGCCAGCAAGACAAAACCACCCCACCCCGGATGTTTGCACAGGAGCCGCTTTACAACAGTGTCGACGAACGATTACTAGAGCATTTGCATATAACGGTGGTTGAACATCCAGATGCATTTCGGCTTGTCGATTCCAGAGCATTTGCCTTTGGGGCCATCCCTCCCTCCTTCGTCCTGCGCGGACTTCTTGTTCGTTCTCCGGCCATTCTCATGGTGGACAATCCATTGGTAATATATGTAGAGGAATCTGGCCAAACAGAGAGAGCAGACCTGTATGCCTATTTTCCGACAGACTTTCCCAATCACAAGTTCTCAGAGGAAGTGATCGAGCAACGGCAGTATCAACACGAGGTCAGGGCCGCACAAATCATCACTTGCTTTTTCCAAGACAAGGAACAGCTGAGAATGCCAGAGTACTTACCGGCATTTGACAACCCTATCAAACATAACGCTAGGGAGGTCCATCCTCTATATATCTACTGGAAGAGTGAGGAGGAGGGTACGGCGGACTATTATTGGGTTGACGACACATCAAAATTTTGAATCTCACAATCAGTTTTGAGCCAGCAACAAGGTTATATGATTCTGTTTGAGGACCCTACTCTCTAGGGCCGTACCCTCTTGAGAGAGGGCACCTTTTTCTCTTGGGGCACCCTCTTCTCTTAAGGCACCCTCTTGCTGCACCCTCTTGCTGCATCCTCTTCTACATCCTCTTCTACCTCTTCTGCATCCTCTTCTACCTCCGGCACCCTCTTGCTGCACCCTCTTGCTGCATCCTCTTCTACATCCTCTTCTACCTCTTCTGCATCCTCTTCTTAAATACACTCTCTACTTAAGATACCTTCTATATCTATAATAACTTAAGTTCTTAGTCTTCTGTAATATTGCACGACTATAATTCATAAGAGGAATGTTAATATATACTATGAGAATGCAACTTGTATAGCTCTCGCAATAACTCAAAACTGATTTTGAGATTCAAAATTTTGATGTGTCGTCAATCCAATAATAGTCCGCCGTAGGAGGGTAAAAACCGAAAATTCTTCAGGCGTTTTGGGTGACTCCTGAGCACTTGGAGCGGTTGAGGTTGGGCCGGTCGTCATCGTAGATACTTTGATCCAAACATGATGCAACCTCAGGCTAGACACATCTTTCATTTAGTTCGATCAGTTTCTACCCCTGGTCATGTATCTGCCTCAATAATTCAAGTATATTTCGATTCCGAGCCGATAAAGGGACATAATATTGGCCCTCGTCAGCGCTCAGATGAATCGCGGCGCAGACAAAGCACTTGACGATTTCGTTGCAGTTAAAGGACGACGCATAAACGTGCTTCTGCAGTAAATAATTACCGAGTATCTCTTAACCAACACTCGGATTTCTTTCCTCCTCATGCTCTTTTCACCATCTCAAGAAAACACTTGTCGAGACTTTGGTAGGTTTCAGAGGAGCCAGAGTCAGAATCAGACCCTCGCGTCTCACCTCAGCACTCTCGATCGCCGTGATAGGCCGAGATCAATACTTTTTGAGAAGTGGTTTTGAAAAGGACGACTTGGTAACGAGGCTGATCATACTTTACATGATGAGAGACTACGGGTACTGTATGTTCCCCGGTACTCTACCACATGGAAATGATTTCCACCCTATGGATTCCGAGGCACAGTCTCTGTTTTCTGAATCCTGTCGACGCACGACTGGAGAGCTCTATCCCCATTTTATATGACATATTGTGATAAGCGCCTTCCGCTAAGATAATCAGCACCCTCCTGGGCCTTAGTTCCGTGCGGCGTTTGAGGTGTCGTTGTTATTCATTTCCTGCTTGGCCCCAAGAGTAATTGCTCTGACAGTTTCAGAGAAAACGGCCAATAGAAGATTAAATTAATTAATGAAGAAAGCAATAAATAAGAGTATCAAAATAGAAAAAGAAGATTAATTAAAAATAAAAAGTTAGGTAACGGTCTAACGTTGTAATACTATAATGCTGTGAGGTCTAAAAGCGGTAGTTCAGTAAGCCAGCAGAAGAGGCCAGCTGAGAGGGAAGCGAGAGACGAGGAAGGAGTACAAGACAGAAAGGAAGAGACGGCGAGAGAAACGAAGGAGCAGCGCACGACATACTGATTATACTTGCGATTTTCTCGGGCCACGGTCCTCCCCGCCAATCGACCCACGTTTGGATGCGCACTTACGCTTGGTCACATACTTTAGATATATATGGTTTGGTGTGAAGGTTTTTGCAGACGACTGTGGTCCATCAATGAAGGGCAGTCGATATATTGAGAGGGAAATAGTATTCCAAGACAGAGCCCAATGCGGCCTTCGGCTGCACCAGAAGAATCGGTCTCTGTCGAGGATTTGGAGAAAGAAAACCCTCCATGGAAAGATGGTAAAACTAGTAGTATAAATAGTATACTTGGCTACAAGAGTAAGTGAAGCTAGAAACGCCTAAATCTCTGAATACGGCCTCAGTCAGTAAGGGGTACATCAATTAAGTGTGGTTCAAAACCCACAAGCGCTGTTCCTCTTGGCGGAGGTGGTTAATGTATCCCTTTTCTGGTAGCGCTTGTGGCGCAGGTTCAAGGCATTAGCCCGCAGTTTGAACACCCCTCTTAATCAGATTTTCGGCATTTTCAATTTTAGTCTAGTTTAAAATTCAGTATTACTTTAGTAGTATTTAGTCTTAATTGGGTTTAAAGGCGTCAGGACACCCCCTGTGTTGGTTGGGCGAGTTAGTTAGGTGTACATAATTATGTGTGGTCAACTACAAGCGCTGTCCTTTTGGCGGAGTGGTTGGTGTATCCCTTTTCTGCCTCTACCTACAAGCGTAGTCTTTCTATCTTTTTGCCCCCTACTATCTCCACCGCCTGATCCCCATCTTTATTCCCAGCCTCTGCCAACCTCGCCCCAGGCCCGTCCCCAAAATTGTCTGCGCCAGCAGCTCCCCTTTCCCAAATCCGTGGTGCCCCAGCGAACGCATTCCACTGCGGATCATGGGCAAGTGATATATTGTATGAATGGGACTAAGTCATTCGTGAGATTGCAAGACGCATAAAGATCACCCTATCTAGTACTACCCGTTGTTACAGGAAATAGCTTGTCGGAGGCGGGTTGTGCGGTTAGAGACAGAAAAAGCGCCCAAGTGGGAGACAATAGTATTTCTCTGCTCATACTTTTGATCACTGGACAGCTGGAAATGAGTACACAAGAGGGCGTCCAACGGGGGCTTGATAAATACTATCGGTCGGTTCAAGTAAGACAGACATTGCAGAGTTATGGTGAAGCTTGAGCGGCATGGCACGGCGGATACCAGGGGACATGCTGCCTCCTGCTATTCATCCACCGAAAAGGCCACCGCTTTTCGGCCCCTGTGCATTAAACCGCCCAAGCATCAGGAATAGAACGATAGTCAAAATAAGTCCTTCAAATATGCATGAAGCCTGCGTGTATTGATTAAAGCAACGATTTGGCAACAGAGAGTTGTTAAGCAATTAAAACCGACTTGAGTCCTATCCTTGCGAATCTCGGCGCTGTGGTCAGACAGCATCGATATAGCTCCAATTGTACTTCAAACATCTTCGAGCAATACTCAGAAACAACAGCATAGAAACCGACGCCAACCACGACCAGACCTGGCCCTCTTATACTCTGGGATTGACAAGCCATTCCCATACAGCGTACGCCCGGACAAGCCGTCCTTGAGGTCATTGTTTGCAGCGGGAAGCGGGGACGGTTCTTTTTTGGGCGATGGCGACACCTCGCTGTAGCTGACTTGTATGGGAGACTGTAGCGCCGCCTTTTTTGGTGGAGCTTTCACGGCAGATGGAGACTGGAACCCATGGCTGACTGGGGAAATAACTGTAGACGACGGAGATCGGAAAGGGTCGCTCTTCTCGACTTTGACGGCAGGAGCCCATGAACCCTGAGAGGTGCTGGCTTTTGGGGGAGTTGGAAACGTGTCGCTGTGCTTGTTTAGCTCCTCTCCCCACTTCCAAAATCGGCACTTCATATCCCAGCACTTATAGAAAAGCTTTTGTCCTTTCGCAACGCTGGTCCTTTGGCCTCTGCTGTGTCTGCCACAATAGCAAAGCGGGTTTGGTGGACCCACATTTCTGTCGTCCGCGAAGGTGTAGAGTGCAATTTCATCCGGGCATCTGACACATTTGTAGTATGGACGTCCGGCATTTTCGTTTCGATTATACTGCCCAGTTATGAAGGCCTTGGCAGGAAATTGGCATTCCCGGCAAGCTGGTGCCGGGAACAGGAAGAGCCTGAGTTGATCTGGGCGGGGAGGAGTTCCTGTGGTAAGGGTCTTGGTTAAAGAATCTCAGAGCACGTCGAATTAAAATTACCTGCCATTGTCGATAGAATGCTCGGTCCGAGCCTCTTCCTGCTACGATGCGTTCTTGGATGGTGGAGGAAAGTATGATAAAGGCCGGTTTGAAGTGTAAGTTGCTATATTGGCTGGCCCCTCTCGCAATTCGATGCAAAGCTGGAATGAGCATGAGGATGCAAATTATAAAGCTACTATCTGGACAGATATAAGGAACCCCCAACCGCCGTGGCGTCACAAGCTCTCTGGCCATCAGGCTGTGCTTGGTGATCCGAATTTGCTGGGTCGCATATGCACGACCCCTGAGTTGACATCCCTTATGACCAATTCTCCTAAAGTACTGAGAACATGATGCGGAAAAAAAGGGGGCATAAGCGAAACTATTTTCGATATCTTACCGCTGGCCCCAGCGGTAAGTACTGTGCGTTGCATAATTGTTGCGAATTCCTTGGCGGGACCCTGGAATTGCTGGCGTCGCAAGGCAGAATCAAGAGGAGCTCAGCATCATTTTGATATAAGAATTATACAACAAAGATCTGTAAAAAAGGCCTTAAGAGCTGGTTTTGTTTAATGATGTAGCACCAGCAACGCCACACCCGCCAAGTTTTTCGCAAGACTTTCGCAATGCACAGTACTGGCTTGCAATGCAAAAAATGACCAGGTGGCTAAAGTCTTCAGCTTACTGCGCAAGGCTGCGCAGAGGAATCGGATACGCAGCCCGTTGAGCAATTTTTCAGCTCAACTTTCGATCTCTCGCAACCCTTTCCTCGTGGTATCGCAAAAATATTCGAGTGCTTTGCCATCATCGCTTGTCCGTCACACTGAGAAGTTACTCTCCTCAGGCATTGTAAATCCACACGTTATTCAACATCATGGCAGATCCGCTCTCCACTGCAGGCAGCATTACCGGCATCGTTTCGCTGGGATTGATTGTCTGCCAGGGCCTCATATCGTACTACAGTCGTTGGGCATCCCAGCACGAAGAAGTCAACCATATCATCCGCAAATTACAAGATTTTCAAAACATACTGAAGGTGCTACAAGGCCCGCTAGAAAGGCTGCCGGCCGAGCACAACAGCGCTCGCATGCAAGTCGAGAATTCTGCACGGTCCTGCACCGATAGTATCCAAGAATTAAAAGGGTTCCTTGAGAAATGCAAGTCAATAACGACGCCCTCAACTCTTCGGGAAAAATTTCGTGACCTGAGAAGAAAAGGTTTCTTTCCGTTTCGAAAAGAATCTCTTGATCAGCTAAGGGACTGCTTGGACGATGTATATCGCAATCTCATTCTTGCATTCCAAGTTCTGCAGATGTATGTTTTTCCCCTCATCGCTTTCTTCACACGTTAAGAAGGCGCTCCATTGATTATCGGAGGAAAGGTTAACACGCCACTAAGAGATATTTTGACTGTTATTATGGCAGCATCCTCCTCCGTGCAATCTTCTCACGATGCGCGCATTACAGCCTTGGTACGGCTATCTTTATGTAGCTCTGATCATTGCTCACCAGGATATAGAGTACACAGCTTGGAGCTTTGATGCAAAAGCCTAGCCTATTTCGAACGGCGTGTGACGGAGCGTCACAACTACGTCTGATAGACGACCAAGTCAACTCAGTCTCAGTAAGACCTACAGTTCCGACCCGCTTCCCAGCTAGGAGGCACATATATCGGCTGCAATGCAAATGCTCTTCATTGAGAAACAAAAGAGAAGTCTACTATCGACCCACTCAGAATATGCGCATGCGCCTCGGAGCATCCTCCCATAGTCGCAACTGTCCTCTTTTCTGGACCGCTAGGGATAGAAATATTCTTGATCTGAGACTTGTGTTCTATAGCATGGTTCTATCCAAAACAGTGCAGGCGGCATTCTCATTAACGCGAGGTGCTGGTGGTTGCTCAATCAGTCCTAAATTGATATTCCGTGCCACTGTTTCTAAGGATTCTGGTGCTTTCTCTGTGCTCCGGAATATGGGTCCCAAGGTTTCGCCGGCCGATACGGACAAGGTATTAAGGGAAATCACGACCTTATTTATGCAGGGGCGAGCATCGCCTACTGATCTTGATACTAATGGGCAAAACTTATTGCATGTATGCCCTTTCCGTCTGCCCGTGGATAGCACGGAACTCAAGCTGACTTTGAGTGCAGTCACTGTGCTTTCCACCGTCCACTGCTCCGGATCCTGAGAATTTTGTGTTGGAAGCCTATGTAAAGCTATTCGAAGGCCTCTTGAACTTAGGCGTACCTCTAGACGATCTCGCTTATGGCTATCTGTGAGTGTCACGAGGTCTTATAATGTCTGATCGAAGAGTTAAACATCCTAATAGCACGCCTTTAGATATATTCATGGGCGGACTGGGGCAAAAATCAGGCAGCTACATGGTCGAATTGGCGCGTACCTTCCAGGAACTTGGAGCAGAATTTTCCCACAATCATCTTCAAGGTCCCATCTTTCATGGATTTTCGGAGTACGCCAAATACTGCCAAGAGCTCGATCAATTCGCTGAAGGTCAGGTCAAAAGTTGATTGTCAAAGCTCTCCGCTGATTAATGCAGTTCTTCGGCTACAACCTCTCAGCAGTGCCGTGTTGCAAAGATCAGAAGACAAAGTGAGAGAAATTTTGACTGCCGATCCATCCAGTGTTCTTGAATGGACTACCGGAGGTTTCAACGTACTTCATCTTTCGGCCGACTGGCCCGCCGGTCTTTCTCTTATCCTGCAATGCGACAATGGTAAGGCACTCGTCAATATCGCAGATCAACAAGGAAAACTTCCGATCTACCGTGCGTGTGAAGCTGGATGCGTTGCAGCCATGAAGATCCTTCTATCAGCTGGTAGTGCAATCATCGACCCGGCAGCCATGGCGTTAAACCAGTCGCTGGACTTTCCTACTGCTGATGCCTTAGCCAAACTACCCGAGAACACCATTCGCGATGTTGTTATTCCTGCATTTGTAAATGGAAGAAAGCGACTTCAGAACTTGGCGTCAACATCGTTACCAAAAGAGATCTACGATGATCTGCAAATACCCAAGGATCGTGTGCTGGACCAGCAAGCGTTCGCAACCATCCAAGCCTTAACAAATTATGGTGTTAGAGTGCCACCGGCGCTTGCGTGGGTACCGTGTACAGTATATCACCTCCGGCCTCTTACACTGCAGCTTTGTGATGATCTGTATGAAGCTGGATTCCGAGATGTCGACGGTTTGGACTCACTTGACAGGACGCCTTTGCTGTGTGTGTGTCAGACTATTCACAAGGATCCTGAACTTCATCAGACTTTTTATTCTGAATCTTTGTTTTTCAGTCTGTCTAATTGGTTTCTGACAAAAGACGCCAAAATCACTAAATTAACACCAAGAGAATCGGAACAAGTGCCACAGATGACGGTAGCGCATTGGATAGCTTACCGCCTTGCGGAATTTGGCCTCTATGAGCAGGATATCCTTACAAGGCTTCCCAATGCAACACACGAACAACACAGCCACCAATCACGGGATCTTGCGGTTCATGTCTTCTCCGTTTCTCTCTTCGATGATTGCATATGTTCTTGTTCGAGCCGCGGCTGTACACCTTTTCTAAAGTTTACTCGATGAACTCGAAGAGCTAGTTGAGGAGTTCGAGGCCGCGTACGAGCGACTAGGGCAACCGCTCTCGGAGTTCATGGATGGGTACTGGAAGATTAGGATGGCTAAAGTGCTCGACAGATCCAGGCCGGTGACTGAGGAAGATATCCAGCGGATCAAGGAATTGGGCGTCGTTATAGACGATTCAGTTTATGCCAACATCTCAAGAGCAGGTTCCTCCACTTGATCGGCTGCCTAGAAGTGCTGGAGAGACGAATGTTATTGGAAATATGTCGGTACGAATGCAAACAGAGTGCAAACCGGTGGAGCCGGACGGGTCGGATGTTTGGGAATACTCTAGCGTCTTGGAAAGAGTATGAGAGGAGAAGATGATGTGAGAAAACGGTCTTTATGTATGATAGCCCGAGACAAGATGTTATAGGGTTTCAATGGTGTTTCCTACGCTCGAGTTCGAGGCGCGATATGAGTAAGAGGGACATAAAGTCATCAATCAAAGAAGAAGAAAGGAGTGAACGGAGAATGGCAGGCCATTCATGTACTTAAATTGATACTGTGCTTTGGCCGGCGAACATGACGACATACTGATGATTATCCTCCCTTCTTTATGGTTTTGGAAGCCAAGGTGGTGTGGTTGAAACTCGATAGTAACGTTACCAGAAAGATGTGTGTTGTTTGACCCAAGTGGAAGTTGAGGTGACCTTGGAGGGGACTGAAAAAGTGATGGTGGGTTGGTGATGTGTTTCGGATGCATGCAGACAATACCGCATAGATATCATGCTCAGCACGCCGCTTTTCGTATACGGCACCGGGGTAGCGACTGCCAACAGGTTCTCAAGTTTGGCTAACATAGTAGTGTGGTATGGTTACAGGTTACTTCGTTTGCTAGGAGATTAACGTCCCATTGGCAATCAGCTGAAGTCGCATATCCGGCTCAAGTGACACGTGCATGTCCTAAAAGGAAAATCGTCTTGACCAGATTTTCTTTTCGAGTTCGGACTCATGCTTGTAAACGCGACTTATCAAGATCTGCAATAACGTAAACCTAGTCCCAGTCTTGCTTGATGAATGTGGAGAGATAGCAAAGGTGTCCCATTTCCGAGTATTTAAATATTTATGCCTAAGTTCCGCAACCTGTGGCCGGAGGTGGCGAGAAAATTGCCCACTTGCCCAACGAAACCATCTTCACTTCGTGGAAATGCGCGAGTAACAAGGTAGGACAAGTCTACCTGGAAATCTCATTCTAGCTCAATGACATACGCCCACAACTTTGATATCCCCAAGTCTTGTTCAAGTGGGCCGCAGGCTACTAGGAGCTTCACCTCTTCCAACCCGGCGATCCCAACGGTTGCTGAATAGACCCACTTGCCACTTGCCACTTGCCACTCGGTCGTCTGTAGACTCTCCCTAAAGCTCAGAAGAGACTGACAGCTGCTAATTCCAAAGTGAAACCGGGGTAACAGAATAAGCCGAGCAACATCGCTGCTCAAGTTGGGTATCTGGATATGAGGCCATGTACAATCAGGCGCTGCAAGGCTACGAGGAGGCACTTGAACCGAAGCATACATTGACACTCGATACGGTCAACAACCTAGGCGTGCTCTACGCCGACCAAGGCAAGCTGGTGGAGGCAGAGGCTATGTACAATCGGGCGCTGTAAGGCTACGAGGAGGCAATTGGACCGGAACTTTGGTCTTCATATTTACCAGCGTTGAACACCATGTTCGCATTTGGTGACCTTTTCTCGCAAACCGGTCGGAAGGATACAGCGAAGGCAACATATACTCGAGCATTGTCTGGATACACAATCGTCCAAGGACCTTCCTCGAAATAATATATCCAGATCGAAGGTCGGCTTCAAGCATTATAACTTATGCCGGTCGAGACCGGAACTACTCAACATACACCTGTGGATGCTAGAATGTCTAAGGAGAAATCTCGTCTGCGGAAACTTAACTGATGGTTGGGTAGCCGATATACTACGGTAGGAGGCATATTAAATGTAACCCTTCCCCCTAGGAAAATTGTTATTAACAACCTTTGTACAGATTCCCTTGCCGCGCTTGTACGAATGACATACCACCCTAGGGGGTCATTCACCACGTTCGCCGCCGCATTAAACTTCCTCTACTGATTCTATCTCATTCTAAAACTACTCCAATCAATGCCAGTAAGATGCCAGGCAGTTATAGATGCCAATAGGATGCACACTTGATGTAAGATAGATTGTAGATTAGTCCAAATCGAGCGGTTTTGTGGCGTTCTATCTTGGCGTTACAAGCTGTTATTAGGGCGGGGGTTACATTTAATATGCCTCCTACCGTAGTAAGTTGACACGGACGGTCTTGCCGCCTCTCTCCTCTCTCCTCTCTCCTCCCGCCGCCCTCAGAGTACTCACAACCGAAAGGCAATTGAATTGAGTGACACTCTCTAATGAATGTTTTGTCCTCCACTAATTACAACAAGAATAGCGCCAACAGCTCCTACAAAGTCCAACACAACCAATCCACTCCAGAGTCACAAAATAGCAAACCAATAGCTGTTTCTATCACCCTGCTCCACACCAGAGCAACCATAGAGACGTTCAGGCCTCCCTGCCTCACAGTCTTTCACTTGTCGTGTAACTGAATGCTTACTGCTTCACGGTCCTTTTCCCTACCTTGCTGAGCCTCCTACCTGACTATCTCTTGCGGTGCCGCCCGATGATCCAGTTGGAGGCTTCCTGCTCTGGCTTGCTGAAGGTCTTTCCCCATTACTTTTTAACAAGCTGGACGAGGCTCTGCCTTGACCACCACTTCCCTGGCTGGCTGAAGATTTTACTACAGTATCTCTTGGCACTTTGCCTGCGGTTTGAGTACTGCTTGGCTGGTCGAAGGAGTATCCTTTCTCTCTGTGTGTCGGTGGGCTGATGGAGGTCACCGAACCTTTTTCGGATTCGGAATTTACACAGCGCCCGGGATTAGTCTTCTTCCTTTGCTGTTCACCCTCGGTCGACTTCTGCTGCCTGTTGCTTCCACTGTCACTTTCGTCGTACTGATATCCGCCCGCTATGGCATCGATTTCTCTCTGCGCCTCCTCAGGATCGGCAGGTATGGACTCGTACTCTGCTACATAGCAAGGATGCACCTTAGCCGGAAAGCATGATATGGAGATTATTAGAAAACTAACCTAGGAGCCTCTTGGCCTCAGGACCACCTTTGTCGAGTAAATCCTTTGCAGCTTTACGTCCCTGCTTCATCATTTCATGAGCCTTAGAGGCAGATGAAGCTCTGTGCTGACTGGCTGTCGTAGTCATGTGGTTAAAGCGAGAAGGGCGGTCGTTGCAATTGTTCATGTTGGCAATTCTAGAGCCCGATTGCTTACTCAGGATATTGGTTCTACCAAAGGTAGGTGGTGGAGTGGAACTTCTCATGGCGCGAAAGGAGGATTTCGCATGGAACATGCAAAGTGGAGCAAAGGCAAATCCTTCAGCTATTATACATCGTTTCTCACGTACAAACTGTTTGGCCGTGCCCGTCGGATGCAGGCCGAAACTCTAGCCCATCCAGGTTTCATAAGGGTCCCCTAGCCCAGGCACAAGGTGATGAACACACAACCTCAATGTTGAGGTGATCCGATTGCTAGGGTCAAACAAAGACGAGAGCCGTTCCGCTTGAAAACCTTAGCCTGACATTGACTGTTTCCCTGAAAGCTGAAAGCGGGCTTGATGCAAATCCTTGGCGTTATATCGAGAATTGCAGCCCCGGCATTGTCAAACGTCGTCAAACAGAAACAGCTCTTGAGGGTCGACCATAGATTTATATCATGTAAATGATATATCGAAATGATGCTGAGTTCTTGTTGATTCTAATGATATAAATGAATCATAATATAAACCTCGATCAGTAGAGATAACTTTTTTCATAATAAATTTTATTTTCTGAAAAAGGATCTAATAGATTTGAAACTTATATCATTAGAACCAGGAGAAGCTCAGCATCGTTTTGATATGGAAATTATAATGTTGATCTATAAATGAGCCTCAAGAGCTGTTTCTGTTTTACAATGCCGCGGCAACAACTCCGCACAATGCCCAATATTTGCAAGAGTTTCGCAATGCACAATACTTAGTATGAAAAGAGTATTGTTGAACTGTGCTGAGTAAGCAAGAGAAATTGACTGTGTAAAGCAAGTTGTTCTATCTAATTCAGTGCGAAAAGAGCGCATTTATACGTACAATTCTGCGATTCCAAGCGAAATAGCGCGAAACGCAGAAACCAAAAATACACGCGGAGCTCATGCGAAACGCGTGTAACAAGTCTATAACAAAACGCTAGTGACACACGTAGCAAAATAGCGCAAACCGTATTTGGAGTTCAACAAGTATCGTTGGGGTCTGACACGCATCACATTATCGCGTGCACAAAACTATTGCGGCGTGGTTATAAGCCACTTCCGACGGCCAGACGGGCGGACCTGTAGCCTCAAATACTACGGTACCTGGCATAAGTATTCGTAGCACGGCGCTAGTAAATTTGCACTAAAACAGACTTTAAACGAGACAGCTAAGCTTTGAACGGTTAAGAGGTATTACTGTGGCCAATTGATACCAATAATTGTCTAACAAGCTTCTAGACACTGAGGTGGGGCTGTATCCGAGCTAGCTGCTACTAGCGCCGTGCTACGATCAATTATGCCTCCTACCGTAGTACGTAGTAGTCTAAGAGTGCATTTTGAGACAAGCTACTTACATGCCGTTGGATGGATGCTCATCGCTCGGAGGATATGTCCAGACACGGAGGAGAGAATGACCCTTATGTCGACTAAGATAGCCAGTTGTTTTTCAAACTTAGGTTGTAACTTAAGTTGAGACAATACGCCTTCTTCACGCGGTAAGTCTTTAGTGCAGGTCTTTACTCAACATCCAGGATCTGTGCCGAAAGATGCTGTTTCATCTCGGGGTAGAAGTGGCTTTTCCTGGATCTTGCACAAAGTACCAAGCAGCGAACGAGACAGTCCAGAGAATCAGGAAAGGAATATAATATTTACCGCAGCACGCCTGTGCCTCCCCCAACTGGGCATCAATTATCGTCAATGACCAGTTCGCAAAACAGTTTTGCAGGATGAATAGACCTAGTCGTGCGGCCTATGAAGAAAAGGCCTATCGAGATGTTTGGGATGGCGGACCCTACACAAGTTTTGACATGCTTAGCTATTTGATCGGGAAAATTCAAGGCCCATCTGAGGAAGAAAAAATGCAGAAATTTCTTTTGAATCCAGGAATCCTTCAGACGATATCGGAGAAAGAATTAAACCGAGACTGGAAAGAGGGTGTCCTAGACCCTCTCTTTGCCGGCAGAACTGGCTTGTGCACATCATTTGCCATCAAGGTGGTGAACGTGTTGATGAAGCAAGCCAGCAACTACGATTTTGTCTTCTTCGACCTTGGCACACACAGGCTGGCTGAATGTCAAAATTCCAAAACTGTTATCGACTCGAGTGTCAGAAGCCCCGGCATTTTGCTCTCCGTTACCCGCAACAAGTGGGAGATCCGTCCGAGAAGCCAGCGCGGTGGAAAGCTGCCTGTCAGATCTCATATTGCTGAAAACCAGGTATGTGCACCTTCTACTATCTAGAACATTCTTCAATGATGGCAAAATGGCATAAAATTTCCAGTACGGAGGTGTGTTTCGAAAGCCATGGGTGCCTTGGTATCAGCCAGTCTCTTCCGTCATTTCAGTTCGCTTTCTGGAAGTTTCGTGTGTGAGTGAGGAGTTTCCGCCACTTGGATTGGCTACAAGCAGCTGGTTCTTGGGGAGACCCACAAAGTCACCGAAAACCGCTTGTCAGCAGAACTCTCAGCTAAAGCAATCGCTTTCGTTTACCGACGACCCTCGGCAGGCTTGAAATGACGGGAGGGTGCGTGGCTCCAGGCGGCATGAGTTTTGGTATACACTTCCGTACTGAAATTGGGATCTTCTTCCGAAACTGCTCTGGATAAGACGAAGAAACTTGTACAGATGCGCCGAATTGCGCACTTTTGCCTTGGACATCCTATGGGTGCAAGATATCGACTTCATATTATCTCCCCCACAAAAGCTAACCGATCAAAAGGATGCAATTAATCCAATGCAGGCGGGCGATGCTCTCATCCGTTGCCTTAAGGAACTGATAAGACTGTCACAGACGCCAGATTGGAGCTTTTTGTGCTTTTTCCGGTAAGTATACCGCCTCGTTCTACTTCCAGAGAACCAAAAAAGCAACTGAAATCCTGTCTTCTAGTGGACATACTATTCCCGACGACATCCCCACATTCGACGGCATGATCAGATGGCTCCCATGGAAAAAGGCAATCGTGTTGAGTTGGAGAACGCCCGGAGAGACTCGAGAGACACTGATCAGATTCGGAGGGGGCACGGAAGAAACCAATCAAACCTGTTTGAACGAGTTTGAAACCTTTTTGCGGCAGGGCAGGAGAGGATTTGACCGGTCGGACCAATTCGAGTGTGTCGCAGAATGGCATTATAAGCTGTGGGAGGTGGCCATCAACGAAGGAGTATGGGGCCTGCCGGTGAAGCCGGAAAAGGTCCGCCGCTCTCGCCCTCGTCTGCCTCCATCACGGACAACGACAGGCCTCGCCACCATCCACGTGTCGAATATAAGAGATGCCAGAACTATGCACCAGAATATGCAGTCTGCCCTGATTACTCTGAAGCGCCAGCAGCAGACCCGCCTTCTTGGGAAAATTCCCCATAACCTTAGCAGACCTTCGCCTATGAAAAACCGTGCTGTGCCAAATTACCTGAGTACCATCAATAACCCAGGTAGCAGGGCTCGGGTTCTTCAGAGCTTTTCAGAACATGTAAAGTGTAAGTAATAAGATGTACTTTTGAGGGGTACTCGACGAGTGAGCAAATAGCAGTCATCCACTCACCAATGAGTATAAGAATACCTGAAAAGGTGATTGGATCCATCAAGCAGCCAAGTAGGATATCTATCATCTTTTGTATCTCTCTGTGTCTGTCTTTGTTGTCTCATTTTCTTGCATCACCTTGGTCTTCTCGATCCTCACATGCCGGCGACGTGTCTGAGCTATTCAGCTCTGCTCTGCTCTGCTCTGCTCTGCTCTCATGTACTCTAATCACTTGCCTGAAGGGCGTCTGGAGAACTGCACTATCTGTCTTCCAACGACTTATCTATCTAGGTCTATCGACCTACCCATAATCGATCTATCCAGCACGAGCCTTTTCTTCAATTAGCATGCGGTGCTACTCGAGCAGCGTGCGAACGATACTGGTACAGGATAAGGGCTACACTCGTGAAGGCTGATTTCGTGAAGTCTGCGAGGCGGTACCATTAGTGCAGTAGCACTGTCAAGCTGTGAGGCTCCACCAACCAACGACCTTGATATGTACGTAGTAGACGATATGCATTGTAGGACCAGTTCAAAGGCAAGTCGATGGGAATACTCATCTAGCCAAATATACTGGGGTATGAAAGGCTCGCAAAGATTGATTCCAACCGCTCGTGACTGGGTGCCTTTGACCAAGCTATTTGCCTTCTGCCACGTTGTTTTATGCCTACGTTCGGATGAGACTCGGCCCGGACCAAAGCAACTGTAAAATCCGGAGGGTGAATTTCTTAACTCGCTATTTCCAACAAGGTCATGTCGGTCGCACACTGCTCGGGTGAAATCCTGCGCCCCATCAGTTGTCTCAACCCAGACTCTTCTGCTTCGTTGTAAAACGGCAACTAAACCGGACAGTCTGATCGTATCTACGGAAAAATCGTCTTCGCAGAAGAGTCGGAACGCGGAATGCCAAATATAAGTATAAGCATGAAATCATTTACTAATCATCTATCTACTACACACGCAACCCTCCAATTACATGTAAATACGTAATATGCGGCCTGGATGATCAGCGTTCTAATGGATAATGGCGTCCTCTTCCTTCCTTCTTGAGATTAGCTGCCGTTTAGCTCGTCAACTTGAAGGCTGTAGAATCTTGCCAAGACATACCCTCAAATTCAGGATGTACTACGGCTACAGGCCTAATTTTTCTAACCCCCCTGCTGAAAAGATTAGTATTAGTACAAAACGTACTAGATAGAATTAGGTATAGATGCCTGACAAGTGGCCTAGATAGGACTAGTCTCCAAAATCAAGTTTTTACATTCCATTGGCATCTGTAACTGCTTGACATTGTGTCTACACTACTAAAGCAGCTTCTTAAGAGATAGTCAAAAGATACAGCATCCTATGAAGCATCTAATAGCGCCGTCATATCATCATGCTCATTGATATTTATACAGAATTAGTAGAATGCGTACAGAGTGATATGAGTAGTATTTGCATGATGAGCAAAATTCGTGCAAAATAGTAACAGGGATGCTGACAGGGTGGGGCGTGTAAAAAACATGTTTGTAAGATATTTTGACCAGGGGGGGGT